CAAACCAGCGTTATGCACGAAAACATTCAATCGATCACCAAAATGAACTTTTACGGCATCAAAAAACGCAATTATGGTCTCTTCATCACCCACATCGCCTGCTACGGTAAAAACGCGGACACCAAAGCTGGAAGTGAGCTCTTGTTTTGCCTTCTCAGCTCGTTCGTGGTTTGAGCTGTAACCAAGAATCATATCGTGACCTGATTCAGCAAGTTTCTTTGCTATACCATAACCAATTCCTCTTGTGCCACCAGTTATGAGGGCAAATTTAGGCTGTCTCTCTGTAGTGTTCATGGTCGAAGTGACCTATTACTTATGGTGCGGACTGTAGATGTGGGCCCTTCTTTGTGTACCCAAGTCTATTGGATTACGGTTAGGTGTCTCTTTGTATTTCAGGTTATTGTATACCTTCTGCTCCATTGATTTGATCTTTTGTTTTTATTTGAATTTTAATAAAGTAGTCTGTGCTTCTCTTATCGCTCCGGTACACAGAGAGGCAACTTTAAATGTTATATTTGTCAAAATGTCTCTAATAACCCTTTTTCCCGTTCAATACGAGCTTTCTTTTGTTTGTTTGTTTGTTTTTTTGTTGTTGTTGTTGTTGCTGTTTTTGTGTTTGTTTTTTGTTTTTTTGTTTTTTTGCTTTGATTTGTTTTTGGTAAGGTCATTGCGCATGAGAGACTGTTGTCAACTAAAGCAGCGGTTACTTATTTTGAACGGCAAAAAGGCGTATAAACAATCAGTAAGTAGGTGATCAGAGATCGCTTACATGGGCTTCCTGCTATTCTCAGGAGACAGGCATAGCTGGCATTTGTCGAAATAGAAATAATAGAAAGTTTWAGTGCTTGGAAATTTTGTTGGATTTAGACTCATATTTGCAGATTCAAATACATCAAAGTAAACTTTTTATACTTTATTTGCCCTCGCTTTCACCCTAAGCGGGCATTACCAGGGTGACAACGTTATACCAATAACACGAAAAAGTTCGTCATCAAAACAAAGAAGGAAAGCAATGTGCGCGCCACAATTGGAAAAGAGTTTGGAGTAAACATCACAGGAAGTGGGACAAAGCATGTCAAAAGTWAAAAAAGAAGAACACTTTGCTTAATAGAGACAATGGTAGAATTTTACGATMGACCAATTTAGCTTTGTTTGYGATTAATTCTCAGCACGCGTTTTTCGAGTAGTCTCCTCTCGCAGCCGTAATGAGGCTCATTCCCAGGTTTMCCTCTAACAGCCGTTAAGGTTAGAGACCTGGGAAGAGTAGACTACTATCTCATCATAATATGTTAACTACTCTATTTTTTATTATTCAACAACAAGAAAAGCTTCTGAAAAGGCAGGCTCTATCCACAAATAGTAGTATACYTCCGCGTCGGGCTCTATTGCGTCACGTGATCGACTCTCCACCAATGAAATCGAAGAAAAAATTTCTTGTTGAAATGTAATGCCTAAAATTCCCTATTTGTAGTSGAAATTAAATTTTCAAGACACTGAAGAGCGTTTTTCTGCGATTTTTGTACTTATTGACGGTCCACAACATATTATTGACCGCTGGTGGACAGTTGCCGGGAAACAGTAAAATTTTGTGACTTTCACGTGGTACACTCTCGACCAATAAGATACTAGGAAAAGTGAACTTTGAGACTTGATATATAATAAGATAAAATATGCTATGTGTTTGTTAATAGTTTTTTTTTTTTTCGACAACCAAAAGTCATATCAAACAAATCTAAAGGCTGATTTACATGGTACGATTGTCGCGTGCGACTTATAGTATACAACTCCAAAGAGCTGTAAATTGCGTCGTGCATGTAAATGCCCCCGCGACTTCCCGACAACAGTCATACGCAATTCACGACTTGCAATAGGATGTTGGATCACGACTCAAAGTCATACGACGTTTCGTAGGAAAATGGTATACTACTTTTCAAACGCGAAATCGTACCGTCTAAATCCGCCTTATCTATATTTCACGGGTTTTTTGACTTCACTTTGGCCTTTGATAATCCGATAATCAAATACACACAACAAGTCTTGTTTAAGGTATTTATTTCATGTGTTTGCCATTCATGGTTTTCTCACACATTTACATGACGGGCGATTGTATTTGCCAACCACTGATGGAGAACAGGGACATTTGCATAGACCCCAGGATATTTTGGATCGGCGCAGCTGTACCCCCAGCTAGTCACTCCTACCAAGTACCACAGCCCATTGTTCTTACACACCAAAGGACCGCCCGAATCACCCTGACAGCTATCAACTCCCCCTACACCTACATATCCAGCGCATAACATAGTGGAAGAAATCTCCTGGGCAGGATATGATCCATTTTTTGTGCAATCTGCCCTTGAAACAAGTGGTACCTGAAACGCATTTCAGTAACAGTGATTTGAAAAATAAGGTAACGTTCATTTTTTTATTGGGAGAGGGGAAATGGTGGTTTTGAGGGGGGGACACCCCAAACATAAACCATGTTAGAGGAGTACATGCAAAATTATTATCCTATTTTACATGTATATTCAGTACAACATATTTTTAAGAATTAGAAAAATGGGGTTCGTGTCGATAGTCATGGTCGAGGGGATGGGGTATATGAAAAATATGTATCCGACAAGGTCAGACATGTAGTCTGCTACTGGTAACATTGTAACCCAGTACAACCTGCCTCATGGACGGGTCGTCGGCGTCTAAACCGGCACCCCCACCAGKCTACACTGGTGAGGAGGGTGGCATGACACACAGCAGGACTAAAAACAAAACCTRTCAAAGCGCGAATGAGCTTGGTTAAGCCACCGGGCATCATGCAAAAACACTTGTTTATTGTGATGTWAATCTGATTGTTGTACTTTAATTTTTAGTTTGAGATCTTGGGACAACTGTGCAGCGGCAGCCAGAGGCGCTAACTCAAGCTCAGAGTCTACCAAGACTCTCATGTGTTTTGTAGTTGTCATGTAGTTTTAAAGCGCTTAGAACAGAATTGGATAAGCGCTATATAAATAGGATTATATTATTATTATTATTATATTATTAAGGAGGGGGTTGTTTTTTTATCTAGAAAGTTTTCAAAAGCCTTGTTTTCACTATGACATAAACATAAGCTGAGAAAAATAGGAAAAGACAAAGGAAAGAACTCAAGCATAAGACATCGACATAAGCGTAACAACAAGCATAAGAGAAATAATGAATAAATTAAAGAACGAACACAGAAAAGCACAATCTTAATTACTTGTAATCCCAAACCTATTATTTTTGATATTCCTAAGATTTTGAAGCACGATATTCAATATTCAATTTTCCCCTTCCACCCTAGAGTAAATTGTTAGCGCTATTGTACTAACAACATTTTCTCGTGCTTTCTTTTGTGTTTGGTAAGTTCTTTGCGTAAGATAATCCGCTGTCAAATAAAATAGCGTTTACTCGCTTTGGAGTCGATATTGTTATTCGAATAAGGAAAGAAGCATGAGGAGTGGTCTTCATATGTTTGTTGGCAATACTAACCTGTGCCTCTTGCAATTCCAAAGGAGCATCGCCTCCAGACGAAAGTGTTCCCCAACCTGTWATATAGCACTTTGTTCCTGGGGGAAACGTTGCCGTATCATTAGAAATACAGGCAGGAAATATATTTTTTACGTCCAACATAACAGGGTTTTTGAGCTTGATTAGAGCGATATCGTTATCGTATTGGTAAGGATATGCATTGTAGTCCTCATGTATGTAAATCCGTTCGATRTCGCTACCCATGTTGGTTTGATTCCTTTGATGAGCGCCAGCCCTAGAAAATAATATACAGTCAATCACCTGGGAAATGACCAGGTGACCGCATTATAAACGTTGACCGTTTAAAAGAGAACACGTTTTACAGAAAAGTAGAACCTCTATAAACGACCCATTAATTTTCCATTAATTTTCCAAAATTTTGTTATATATATTTGCTGTCAAACATCAACCTTTTTAACCTGTCTACCTTTATTAAATGGTCAGGTTGACTGTTTAATGTTGTAATGTTGATGAAACGGAATAAATAAAAATAAACCCTTTTATTTTGAGAGGGTAGCGCGTAACGATCTCTATACTATAGTAAACTTGTGGCCCTCTATATATTCACTCACACTCACTACCTCAACATTCATTATTTTACTACACGACACTCCTCACAGCTAGTTTTGGATGGAGGGAGGAAAACCAAATCACATATAGTCCCGGACCGGGAATCGAACCAGGAACACAGCGGTGATAGCGCTGTTTTAACCACTCAGACATCCTTACTCCCCTCGATAATCAGTGACAAACCTGATCCGATAGTCAGCATAAGTTGATGGGTCTATATCACTGACACAGTGAGATGCTGTCACTACCCAATCAGGAGTAACTAGAGTTCCACCGCAAAACTGACTCCATTCACCATTATCACTCCGTTTGTACATCAACATGACCTGCCATGGCCATTCACCCGGTTGTGCTGCGGTACCGCCTACAATTCTAGTCTCTTGCCTATGCCCACATACACCTATTTCAAAAAACGTTGTCGAGGATCGAGAAAATGTTTTAACATTTTAAAACAGTTTAAAACATCATATTTCACAAATACAGTTAAACCTCTATTGTTCACCTTTGGGAAAAATGGATGAAACTAGAGGTAAACTAGTGTGAGCTGCGTCGGTGTTTCTTGAGAAACAGTTGGGTGAACAGTTAAAATTTAACACTGTGTATAAAAGTACTGAATTGGGAATTTACCTGAAGGGAGGTTTGCATCGGGTGTCTGCGTTGGAGTTACTGGAGCTGCTTGTTTGGGGAAAATTTGACACTTTTGATCATAAGAAACTGTTATGTTATCAATAGCTATGTCAGCCATCCAACCTGTACCAGAAACCCCTTCAAAAGCAACCTGTGAGTAGAAATAAATTGTGTTTTTTTTTGTCGAACTGATTTTCAAAAATGTCAAATAAAGTAAAACGTTGATAAACAGTCTGTCCGAAATTCACAGATAGGCTGGAGCTGAGTAAGAATCGGTTTCATTTGAAGCAGTTAACAAATACAATAATAACAGAGCGTCAAGCGTTTAAAACACACAAAAATAATAAAGAATGTATGGGACTTGGGAGCAGCGTCCCCAAAAGCCATAATTCTCTCATATTTTATAAATTTTCAAAATATTTTACTCGTTGCGTATTCCACCAATTGAAATCAAACTTACCACTTACTTAAATTTCTTAACTTTACAGCGGAAATCGTTGCATCGCGACCTCTTTGTCTTGAAGTTTGTGTGGATTTTGTTCTTTCTTTCAATCTGAGGGGCGGAGCTTTTCGAAAACTCGTTCAATCATTGGCTGATTAGTATCAARCTMCGCCYCCAAGTCGCAGAAAAACCTAAATCCCAACTATTTCCTTTGAACACTGAAGTCGCGATGCAGCGGTTTCTGCTGTAATTTCGGAAAGGGCGATGTGTTTGGTATTGTGGGATTCAACATTTGATATTACAGATACCTTATAAAGATCTTGATTTTGAAAATGGATTGAGGCATGTAACCACTTGGAATCTTGTTGGCCAGTCAAAGACCATCGCAATGTTCTTGAGCCGCTAGCCTCTTGTGTGTAAACATTCAAGGTCATAATGTTTACACCTAAATAGAGTACATCAAAATCAATGTTTACAATTTCTTTGTACGCAGGCATTTGTTTATAGATAAAGATCGTGCTTCTTCGTCGTCGTTTTTTGCTGTTTTTCGGCGAAAAAGGAGCAAAATTGGATYCATCACGTGACCAGTGTTTAATACCTTATCACAAAGTAGGTTTTGATCCCGCGAGGCAAGGAATCATTGACGTAATACCACAGGTAACCCGCATTTTGCTAAGAGCGCGCGCCGATAACAGTACTAGCGTAAAAGCGTGCGCATTCGTTCTTTTACTCACTTCAGTCACTTCAAGCAATAGTTGGGCGGCCTATGTCCTGACAACAAAAAATAGCCAAAGGGAGACTGAACAAAGTAATTATCCTTGTACTTGCCTTTCATGTGGTAGAAGAATTCCAAGCAGTTCATTGATTTGTCTAAAACAGGACTAACCAGAACAGCATTCTCCTTGCTAAGTCGTGGCCAGGAAGTTTCGATGTACATGTAAAACCCTTGAAATTAAAAATACGATTTCATTGCTTTTAATTTGTGGAATTTTAACCAATTAAAAGTGGTTTAAGCAAAAAGAATGAGAGACCCAGGTTCCCCTTGGTTAGTAGTGTAATTGAAAGAGTTTTGAGGAATAAATGGAAATAAATAGCTGTCAATTAATTCCCTTAAAATTCTGGAAATCGCATTTCTAATGATCTCAATTTCAATATTCTGTGGTAGAGCATGCCGTTGGCCATCCCTAGTTCCCCACGCCTTCAGAGCTACAGAAGTTAATCACCCCCCCATCCCCCGTTCACAAATTGCTAGATCCGCCCCTGATTCAGTTTACAGTTATATCACGCCATTCACAATTACTATTGATTTCTTTGAATGGATCTTTTAATTCTGAATATGATGTCCAGAAAATAGAACCCATCAAAAACGACGCAGACACAAAGACGTGATCGAAGTTCCGAGAAAAAAATCCATTGGGCATCGCCCTATCAAGTCACTGCACCTTAATGTTCGATGCTTCGAGAGATCAAAAGATTGGTTATTCGAATGTACATCATTTCGCTCAATCAACTCGAAATTTTAGGTTAAGATTTTATCGAAACTTCGTCAGTATATCAATTATGTTATTAAGAAATGATTCTGAAAATTTTATTACAATCTCTGCGATGAGTTTCGAAAAAAATAACTTTGAAGACCTTTGAAGAAAAATGAAGGTGTTTTTATTTTGCGTCGTTTATCCAAATGGCTTCGCTTTTTGGCAAATTAATTTATCAACAAGAATTATCGATAATCAATGTGACTTCTGTGAAAGTTTGAGTGCAATTGAATCGAAATTTGCGCCGTAGTTGGAGTTTAAAAATACGCGTGAAACGCTATTTATTACGATCGAAACACCTTAAAGTCACCGCACCCGAAATATACTTACCCTTACTACCTGATGGTCCTGTTCCCCAACTTGGTGTACTTCCAGTATTCCGTGTCCAGTCGAATCTATCATTTGCATCTTGTGTATACCCACACAACCCAGTGTCAAATGAACATGTTCCAGAAACTAGAAAAACGAGTAAATAAAAAACGTAAAAGCGCGAGATTCCCTTTGATATAGTGCATATTGCTTTTTTTTGTTTTGATGTTGAAGTTATTTCTTGTCCTTGTAACGGGAGAATCCTTGTGCAAATAAAGTTAAAATTTGTCTGGGTTAATGTATCTGAATCTCCAACTTGATCTGTAATTTTATTTTTGTGCCATACTGAACTACAAGGCAAATATTCAACATTCAGTCCTCAAAAACGTTCAAAATCAGGTTGTCYGATTTTCCGAAGGCTTGATATAAAACAGGGAGATTTGTATCCCATGATACATTGCAAACCGATTCAAAATGGTGGGCTTGTAATATGTACCATGCTCCTATTTGGTCTTTCATTGTTTTTTCACTTTTGAACCGGACAAGGTTTTTTCATTTAAGTGTATATAATTTTGTATTATATTTGTACTATAATTTTGTACTAATTTTGTATAAACAGCGGGGCGTGCAAAAAGCTTAATTTACTGATGAAGGCTGAAACGTTCTGAAGTATAAAAGGTATAAAGCTACAAGTTGTGTTTATGTATGTATACCCCTATATACCCCAAAGGCTATATCAACAAAACTAGCTCAGACCAAAACAGGGCATGTGAAATCAAGTATCATGAGTACAACTGTGTTTCAGTGCTAAACGATTCCCTTTACTGAAGGCACTGAAAGCAGTTTTTTATCGACGGGTAATACTATAATGCAACATGTTTAGGAAAAAAAAATTCGAATTCTGAATACTTTTAAAAAATCGCTACGGTATTAGCTTGGACATCACCTTTTGCAACCCAACAATAATCAGGTTTGTATAATTAAGGGTAAAGATACCTGTAGTTATAACGGGCGCTGCATCGCATGCAACGAAGTACCACAATCCAACAAGGATGAGAAAGATGTTCATGGTTCGTGAGTGTGCAGTAGAGTGCTCAGGAATACAAATGCAGTCTTTTTTCATGAATYATTTTTGTGGATACAGGTGAAAGACATTAATGGTTTTTCAAGATTTCCTCCAAAAGAAAGACAAACATCAATGTCACGTCTGTGGATTTACTCCAACAGCTAAAATATCTTTATTGTTTGTTTTTCAGCCCATTTTACGTTTTTCCCTTTGCTATTTTTACTCCATTTGTCTTTTATCCAGTTGACAGGACGCTTTGAAAGTAGTCATGGCAAGGAAGTGAGAGGAGAAGTTAAATTAGGAGGCTGGAAACAATGGATCTTTCACTAATACGGCCGCCATCTTGAATTTCGAGGAAATTATGGGATGTCCAGGGGGCAAAAGCACACATTGATATATGAAATTACTTTCCCTTATAATCTCCGTGGTTCAAAATTAAAATTATTAGTCCATATGTGTTAGAGTTTTCACGTTTTAAGATAGCATACTAAAAGTCTACATATTCATTGTTTAGTGCGAACAGAGTATCCAATTGTTTGCTTACTTCATCGACACTTAGAATAGAATTCAAGATGGCGTTCGTAAAACGATGTCTTCTTTTTTCCTTTTTCTTGTTTTTTTTTTTGGTCTTTTCAATGAATTGCTGTCATTATAAGTAATACTCTGAGGGAGATTAGGGACTAAATGTCCCCGAAGCCGAGGCCAGATAAGTTGAAGTCCCGACGGCTGGTACAAAGTAGTGACTCGGAACCAGAGCTACTCGATCAATTTGGTTGAAAAATGATCCAACATTTCAGTGTGACTTTGAAGATTTTTAATAGTGTGCATTGAAGAAGAAGACAATTGTTGGGACATTCACTTGCCCCGGCTATAAAGCAAAGGTTTCCTTTGCCTTCCGTTCCTTATGAATAACATGAGGGACGATTAGTCTAATCTTTCCTCATGTTATTATGCATGAGGGATGATTACTCGTCCCCTCATCAATTCATGGCTTTTAGGCATCCCTCGGAAGACAAAAGAATCCGAAGTGTTCATGGTATTACTAAAAAAAATGTTTTTTATTCTTTTCAACATTTTTGGTAATTTAGGTGTATATCTTATATATCTTTTTTTTTTCTTTTTTTTTTTGACTGCTTATAGTTTTAATAGCGCTCTTTTCATTTTACGTGAAGATGTACGACGAAAAATCATTAAATTCATGTTACTGTAACATTGGTATTCAACTTCTTTTAGGTATTATATGGAGTGTCTATTCGTCAGACAGCCTGACGTTTGAAAAATCGTCAGAACAACCGTAATTTCAATTAACAGAAAAAATGGAAAAATAGACCGAAATAATACTGTTCAACAAGGTTTTCGATGGCCTGAGTCTAATTAGTTTTTAGTGTCTAAACATCAGTAGTTTCGATAATTGCCTTAAAATAGATTGATTATATTAAATCACAATTTTTTCAGTCTTCCGTGAGTTAAAGATGTGTAAACAAGTGCGCAAATACTTTTAAATTGAATGAACTTATAAAAAAWGCAATTATAGCGAATAAACATTTTGTTGTTTCAGTAAAATCTGAATGTCATGGAATCTTTSTACCGCTTTGTAGAGGGATGAAGGACTAAAGCCGCCCCAATAAAAGTTGCAGATTCAGAATATTTTAAAGGCGGAGTGGCTAATCCTTTAAAAGATATCTGAAATAGATAGATTAAGAAGTGCGCAAAATAAAATYTCTTTCGTGTTAACCCTGCTGCTTTTCGAAAAATTCAGATTTAATTTCCTTTATTTACAGATATCATATAATTTAAATTTCTAATTTTTTAACCCTAAAAAGGAGATGACCGCCAAACATAATCAGCCTGGCCCTGGATCAAYCCTATAAAACCAATTTCACTGATTTTCACATTGAAATTAAAAGTTCGATGGYAGTTTTAATCGTCAGGTGATTGTAGTCAACATTGACATTTTTTGCAACCTTTACATAAAAGTTCAGTGATTCTGGTTCTCATATAATGATATTTGTTCCAAACTTTCGAATGAACGCATTTAATTCGTGGAGTTGTACTTGTAAACTCAAAAGGTACTGCACTGAAACATGAACACTATCGGTGATTTTGGGAGATTTTGAACGATTTTGGGTCCCAGGCTTTAGTCAGGGCTGCCATAATGATAGAGTGCACGCCAAAAAAGCATGAAACAAWTCTTAAATATCAACATCTAATAAGATTTCAATCTCGTTCCAGAGCCCGCGTTCCTCTTGGCCTGGGGGCGCGAGCAACAACGCCCCCAGGCCAAGAGGAACGCGGGCTCTGGAACGAGATTGATAAGATTTAGTTATCAACTAACTAAGAATTCACTGGGGCATGAACAAAATGCCAGAAAGGAAACTTACTTGTCTTTGTTTGAGGGTCTCAATGGGGTTAACTGTGAGCCGTGAAACGGCTRAAAAATTASCCGTGAGTCGTGAAAATGCGAAAAAATTAGCCGTGAGGCGTGAATATTTTTTTATAGCGTGAGCCCTGATTCAGTTTTGTCCCTCAGAAGGACAGTCAACTCCGATGTAAATTTAAAAAAATAAAAGCTTCAGTGGAGATTTTTCACAATTTTTCCTCGGTCTGTTCAGGAATTGTTTTCCCTAAATCTTTCACTCTTCCACCCCACCCCCTCAAAATTCTACTGGATCGTACATCGAAGACTTTGAGTGGGAGCCGATCATATAGCCACTTCGTAAAAAAAAGTCGGTTCTCAGGAAAGTTCCAAACACAAGAGATGACAATAATTCTGCAAAAAAAATAAATAAAAAAAGAAGATAAACAATAAATAAAATAGAAATGAAAATACACAATCAGTAAACGTCTCGTCCAGGGAATCGATCCCGCTACCGTCAAACCTACATTGGATTTGCAAACAGCGCCYTAACGCGGTGCGCCACTGGACCACACTCATTTACATAATAATAGACCACTTGGCACTTTCACCGAATAGACTACCCCAATTTGACATTATACTTTCGATAGTTGCCTAGTTAGTGCAAGGGGTTATCCATCAGTGTCTAGGGGCCGGATAGCTTCTCCCTCACTGGCTTTTTAGTTAGCGCGAAGTTAGGACCAATTATCGGGATAGCATGGATCATAAGAGCCGAAATCTCTAACCGGAATGTAAATCGATTCGCCGCCTCAGCTTCACAGAATGTCTCGGGGGAATCGTCCCAACCTTTTTTCGATTTTATGGTCATGGGTTCGAATCCCACCACTCAAGTTTTTTTCTTTTTTCATATTTTCATATTAGCTTAATTCCTACATTAATRATTGTTTGCAATATCTCCAGAATCATTTAGTAATTATTTCTATATATTTCTATAATGTGATATTTTAAAGCGCGCTTTCATTGGCTTTTCTTCATTAAACGCCAGGTTTTCACAGCGCGGCGATTTCGCAACCGAGAATCAATTTTTAAACAGAGTGACCGAGTTATGTTTTCTATTCGTGCGGACATTGTATATATTCTGAAATTTTCTGTAATTAGATATGTAAGATATCGATTTTAAAATACTATAATTAGTTATAAAAGGTTTTTTCTTTCTTAGATAGTATTTTTGGGATTTGTTTTGTACATTTTAAAACTCCCACTCATTTAGTGCCTGCGTCACGCTAAGTGTGACAAGAAACTAAATCTGCTCGATTTTAAAATACTATAATTTTGTTTAGAGTCAAATAATGATATGAATACGCTGCAAACTTCCTGATTTTACCATGCACATTTAGCCCGGCATAGAATATGACATCATCGCGAAAAGCGACACTTAATGAAATTTCGTAAACTCCGATGTTAGACACGGACTGCAGCAATGTCACTACTATGTTCTCAATACTTGCTAACACTTTTTGGATTTTTCTTGTATATGAATTTATGATTAATCATGCATTTTTTCGTGGAAATAGTCGCATTTCGGCTTATTTGAAAGAGAAAATCCATATCTGTAAGAATAAGTCAAGCAGTCTATTCATACGAAAAAAAGAAAAAGTAATGCAAACGTAATTCAAAAATTTCTTAATCTAGTTAACCGTGATTCGAAAAAATTAGTCGTGAGTCGTGAAATCGYCAAATTTTTAGCCGTGAGTCGTGATGCGTACCACCCCATTGAGACCCTCTTGTTTATGGCTCACTAAATTCTTAATTACTTAATAACTAAATCTTATTAGGCGCTAATTACTTAAGAATTGTTTCATGCTTATGTGGCGTGCACTCTATTATCATGTTCCTTCGACCTTTGAATCTCAAGGAAATAGCACCTTTGTTCTCCCGAGAAAATATGCGTAGACTCAGTCAAGCTTTTGATTCTGATTTTATTTTAAAAAACCATACACTCTTATTTACGCATGACATCTTCACAGCCATTTGCAAAAAAATGTTATCCTTAACAAATCGGCTGCAGCAGGGGCAATTTCATATGATTTTTGCTCTGTTCTCGGTAACTAAAAATACAAATCAATCAAAATCTTTCGAAATATTTATAAAAAAAATTAAAGATTTAGTTTTGAAATACCAGCTACCCAATATTTTATATATTCATAAGTAGAATAATATAATACAAAATACCAACTTGTAGCTTGAAATCTCTGCTTTAAAATGATTTTTTATATATATATTAGCGGTCACAATTACTTCAATGAACGTATATTAAATAAATAAATATAAAATATAAATAAAAAATATAAATAAATATTCATCGATTAGACCACGAGGTCTTCGAGCAGTTTATAGTCTACGAGTCCGTACTTGGCCGACAAGGCTATCCACCAAACTATAGGGTAAATTTGAAACAAGGCCATCTGAAAGAGCATATCAAAGAATTGCCTCAGAAAAGATTTCCTTCGTTTAACAGCCACATTTGGTAATCTTSCCTTATTTGGAATTACATGTGGACTGTCTGAAACTAAACACTTCTGAACAATCGGCTATTTTGTTTGTTTCCTTATATGGCATGGATTCGCTAAAGGAAGCACGAAACTAAAATCCACAGGGATCCCGCACGAATGACATAAAATTCTTTGATATGCAATTTTTCTCGACATTAGTTTCGACTATTTTTGCTTCATTCAATGCGATCATGATATATATCATGAATATACCATAGCCAATCAGAATGCTGCTGAATTTTTGATGACCCATAGTTTTGTAGATACTAATGAATACCATGATCGGGAAATCCGTCATTTAATCTTGGAGGTTTAGCTTGACATCTCACGAGAGAGGGAAGCGGGGGTAAAGAAAAGTGGCAGATTTTGAACCGGAGAAATACATTGTAAAATATCAACCACACAGTTTTTCTAGCTCATGAGTAAACCGAAGAACGCTACAAACATCGTATAAGCCAATATCGTCCTTGAGAGATGTGTAGTAATAATCAGGACTCTGAAATACAATAAATAAGTATCATTAGATGCCCAGTATCACCCAGGATGCTCTGCGCGCCATGTATAACAACGGATTATTGTTACGGCCATTTCAGGCTATTAAGAGGTTGTTGTGTAAAAAGATAAATTAAACACCGTAAAAAAGTAGGAGAAGTAACTTACTGACGTTTCGGACGTTAATCCTTTGTCGGAGGATTAACGTCCGGAACGTCAGTAAGTTACTTCTCTTACTTTTTTACGGTGTTTAATTTATCTTTTTACACAACTGTTTCTTTAGAAACATCGACGCAGCTCACACTAGTTTACCGCTAGTTCCCACCCTATTTTAAAGAGGTTGATTGGTTGAACTTGCTATAAATGAATTTGTTCAAAAAGAAAGTTAACYCGAACTAAAAACGTTTGGATGATTTTCCTGACCAAAATGAATGGAAAAAAAACTTAGTATGATTGAATACAAATACAGAGAGCTAACTGATCCATAAAGTTCTTTAAGTAGAGAATTACCTCGCTTCGTAGAGAGTGGAGTAACATCAACATAGTACCRTTCAGCTTATGCAAAGAATTTTTCCTAAAAATGCATACAAATGGAAATAAACTTTAAGAAAATTCTTGAGAGTGATTGGTCTTCGCCAAGGTGTAAGCGATATAGGTGTGATATGATCTTCTGGATGTGAGAAGTGTTTGAGAAAGGCTGTGGTTGCCTGACGTTTCGGTACCAGAGATGATTTCCACGAAGAATGTCGAAACTTCAGGTAGCCAATGTGATTTTTCTCAAGACTTCTCGCA